CGCTCTCCTCCCCAACATCCCAAATCCATTTATTTTATATTCTTTTTTAAAGATTGGCCCAGTGGATGAATTTTATATATTTATGTATTTACTTATTAATTAATTTAATAACAATTATTTTTTTCCTCTGCCTCTGCCCTAATGATGTAGTGGTAGCCTAGCAGGCATCATAATAATAAGACTGGACTGGACACATAATGCTCCAGCAACCCAGCCCAGTCCACCTGCCTCAGCCCTGGTGGTGTAGCAGTAGCTCAGTCTGGAAGTCATGACTCAATGTCCCTCTCTCAGACCCAGCAGTCAGTGTCCCTTTTTTTCCGGTCCCAGCAGTCAGTCCCCCTCTCTCGTCCCAGCAGTCAGTATATCCCTTGGTCCCAGCAAACAGTGTCCCTGTCTCTCAGCCCCACCAGTATCTCTCTTGGTTCCAGCAAACAGTGTCTCTATCTCTTGGTCTCTGCAGCCACTTCACACCATCCCTCTCGCCCCGTTGAGGTCAAAACCCGACCCCTAGTGAGGTCAGAGCCCTGCCCCCCACAGTCCCCAAAGCAGGCTGGTGGGACTGTGCTTGAGTTGCTCTTGCAGTTCGCACTGGGCATCCTGGGCGTGTGTATTTTTTGAGGGATTAAGGGGCAGCTGCTTTGGGCCACAAAGCAGGGAAAATTGTTTTTGAAAGTTCTACCCCCATAGATTTGCATTGAGTTGAGTTTTAATTCAAACTTTTTGGATTTTCTAAAGTTTGAATTCGAACCAAACTCGGGCATGTTCGGCCCATCACTAATTCTTAGCAAATGGAATGTGTACTCCAGACATTGACTGCTGTAGGGCATAGGGTAATGACCTTTAGGGAGGTTGTGGTTAACCCTGACCCCCTGTGAATTCTCCAATCTACAAATGCTGACGTCAGATATGCAGAAGGTGTAATCAGGATCTTCAACACCATCAAAATTTTGCTATAGGGCCCCATAATATGTAGCAGTACATTTTATGGGTTCTGTGATGACACCTGTTTGGTCAAGTTCTCAACTACATTTCAAGCATTTATTCTACCAAGACATTAAATTACATTAGATGAAGGACTAATACATAATTAAAGCAAATGAATTGGTGTAGCAATACTGATTTGAAAACATATAAATACCTTCTCCAAATGTCAACTAATATGGTTGTTATGTAGATCAAAAACAACACATAGTGCAACATTCTAATCCTCATCTCAATATATGAAATACAAATTGTGCAGTTCATGTACAAGATAAATCACCTTAGACCAATCTCCTGTTCTCCATATATAACACTTGGAATAATCTTCACAGTCTTCCATTTCTTTTGGTCTTGTAGATATTAAGCATTTCCTTCGGGGGTTTGTGCATCGCACAGTCCGATGTCGGACACCCTTGCCACACTTCAAGGAGCACTGAAGAAAAGAACATTAATGCCATGTTACTACAAGTACCCTTATGTCTGAATAAATAGCAGGATTGTCTTCATTTAAAAGCCACATTTTCTTATTAAATTATACTATATTGAAAACAATTGCGAACAGTGATGTAAAGCAACCAATCAAAAATAAGCTTTTGTCTGCACACTCACACTTGCTGAGAATTCATTAATTGTTCTGTGTCATCAATGTCAGCATGCTGTAAGAAATATATTATTGTTTACCCTTACTTTATTCTTTCCTTTTTTCTTACTATTTCTTTTCACTAGGCCACTGAACTGTAAGAGGTCAGTATAACATCCTACAAACTAGACTCACATATGACATATGCTTTATAAGGAAAATAAAAAATATTAATGTAACAGAGCCATCCTATTTATGTTCTTCAAGTGTATTACTACACCTCAGACCACACTCCGGCCTCCCACACTGTCATACAGTCCTGGCCCTCACAGCGCTGGGTTGATGCAGGCTTATATCCAGGGCAGTCTTTTTCCCGAGCTGTGATCAGAGTTCCATTTCTGAGCTGCTGTGTGCATGCAGTCTGCCGACTCTGAATTCCTTTACCGCAGGTCTTTGAACACGGACTCCATTCTGTCATCATCCATCTAACCAAAAAACAGATTTAAATAGTTTTGATCAAGCTGTGTTGAATCTTTAAAGTAAGTTTTCATTTAACATGAAAAACACATTTCAGAGACATAAGCCCTGACTTTAATCTGCAACTGAATAAACTTTACTAATAGTAACAAAGTTCTTAAAAACATAAACTATGAATTATTTTATTTTTTTAATTTACACTGAGCTGGATGTTCAGTAAGGCTGGTTTTAGGATTCTTCCCAGTACTTGCATTAAGCACAACATTATATCTTTCTAAAATTGATGTGTAACACTCTTTTTACCATTTTACAAGTACCTTCATATACTTGTTCTGTGTTCCAGAAGTCTGATAGTGATAGTTTCCCTTGAGGGTTTCCCTGCATTAGGAGCAATCAAAAATTGTGTAATACCCTCCTCCTCATCCTTTGCATGTCTCTTCATGTAAGGTAGGGGGTTAGAGTGTAATAGCACCTTTGCTTTCTTGACATGAAAGAAGTGGGAGCTGAATGGCAGTTCTAGAGTTGTGGAAAGGCCAAAACAATCTCTGGGAGGCATGACCTTATCATATCACATATCTTCTGTAAGTTTGTGAGATTGCCATAATGAAGAATTAATATGTCTCTGCAAATCCATTGCATTTATTTATTTTACAATTCAAACCTGCTGGCTGGCTGGCTTGTCTGGCCAACACTGGCAGTTGTTCCTTCAGAAAAACACAACGCTACATAAAGCCTCTTACAGTGCATAGTCACTGAGCCAAAAGGCAGGCTATTAAATCTCTTCCCATATAGATTGAATCACATGAAGAAATACATTGTAAGGGTTACTTAAAAAATAAAAAAATGTAAATATGCATTGATAAAAAATATGAGTAAACCCTTGTACTTTACACTCTAATGTATACTTGGCCATTGAATATAGTAGCATTTGACATACTAACCAGCAGTAAAGTTTCTGCCAAACTCAGCTATACTAGATCCTGAGAACATCCCTTATGTCTATCTGCTGTTTTAGAGCACAACATCTGGAGGGAGGTGCCTCCTCTTTTTACAATGAAAGCTGTATGGACACCTGCTCCACACACCAACTTCACTAAATCTCTGATCCCTGTGGCTATTTATCCTCTCTTGATTGTAGCAGCTGCATAACACATTGGGGTTGAAAAGAATTCTAGTGAAAATTCCCAAATCCCATTCTAGAATTTGTGTTTTTAACTCACGCTGCTACTTAACCAGTTGACATCCGCGGTGTTAAACCCCCTTCCCATCCAGGCCATTTTTCAGTATTCAGCGCTGCGGTACTTTAACTGACATTTATTCCGTCATGCAGCGCTGTACTGAAATGAATTTTATACCCTTTTTTGGGGACAGATAGAGCTTTCTTTTGGTGGTATTTATTCACCACTGGGGGTTTTATTTTTTTACTATATTAAGGAAAAATTACCGAAATTTTAAAAAAAAAAACAGTTTCCCCTATATTAAATGATAAAACATTTATTATTACCCAATTTTT